TTACTCACACACACACACACAAATTTCACTAAAATTAGTAAATCCGTTTAGTAAAAGTTCAGTCACATACATACGGACAGAAGAATTATACATGTAAATATAGGTATACACAGTATCAAGTACTTATTCGTTTATGACAGATTGGTTGGTGACCGCAGTACCTATATCTACCCTTGCCTTGATATTGAGAATCGAAATTTAAAATCGATATACCGGTTTTTGGCTATTTTGTTTTGTCATTTATCAGGATGTGGCGCGTGAAGTTGCCAATTGAACAAAAAGTATTAATATCATAATACATTCAGCATAACACACAGCATTCAGCTATATTAAATTCTTAACCTACGAGTAATTTGAGTTCGATTATAGAGCGATTGTAAGGTAGGTAGCCGGCAACCAAAATTATTTGCAAATTTAAATGTTGATTTACCACTCTCTTGCGGCGGTTAATATTGTGTCAAAAGGTTTCCTTTATCTACCTCCCTTTTTGTCTTGTCTAAGAAGTAAAAATTTATTTTGAGCTAGCTGTTCCGCGACTTAACCCGTGTGTAATTTTGGGTTTTAATTTTACTGCTCGGAACCCTAACTACTACTTATAACATCAGTTATCTGTCAGTGCAAAAAGCCCGTTAAAGTTACACCAGCCGATACTAGCCGAAACTAACACACACACACACAAAAATTTTAAACGTGTTATTGTTATACTTTCATACGCATTTAGTAAAAAGCTGTTTTGACATTACAAACAGACACTTCAATTTTATTTATTTGTATAGATATAAGAGTAAATTCACCGACTTACATTAGAGTAACCTTGTACATTCCTATTCGTGTTTTTTTTAAGAATTTCGAAAAGACTTGTGATAAGAGCAGCAACACATCTGACGGAATTTACATCGCCGATCCTCCGTCACAAAACAGAAGAAATATAGAGCATAATAATGAAATCGAATAAGTCTGGCGTCTGTTTCGTACCCGACGGAAGAGCGACGTGGATAGAAAGGATGCAACGATATTTTCTTTTTTATCTTGTCACAAATTTGTTTCATTCCACCCACGAAACAAGCTCCACGTATTACAAATACTAACTATTTAAATATACATTAAGTGTAACGGTGTTGCAGTATAAATGAAGCGACGGAACACCGTCGACGTAAATACCATCAGATGCGTTCTGGCCCAAACAGTGGGACATTAATAAACTAGATCAGACCAAAAGTTTTCTGTCAAGAAATTATCAGCAGCATTTTTACGTGGTAGAGCCATGCTATAGCTATATTAGTAGTATAGTTGTGAATGGTTCGGCTCGACCGGAGAAGGACCACGCTCTCACAGAATACCAGCGTAAAATAGCAGCTTAACGCTGCTGTGTTTCGTATGGTGAGTGTAGAGAATCGGAGACCCTTTTTACTGGAAACGAGATATACATCTTACAAATAAGATATCGATAGTTGGAACTAAGGTGAACTTATGTCTTATTAAGGTAAACTTAATACGTGCCGTAGTTTGATTTATCCATTTCCAATATAATTAATATAAGATATGACTAATATTTCAGAAAGAATCATTAACCTCTACCATTGAGTTATATGTACTACGTACTAGAGAAGCTATTCCAAACAAAAATTGTGCGCTACTCTATGTCTTCGTATGCACGGGGGATAGTAGAGTCGCGTATGCGCGAATATTTTAATTTAATATAAAATAAGATATTAATGTAAATTAAATATAAGAATTTAATATAAAATACTTTTATTTTAATCTAAGCAAACATATTTCTAATTAAAATGTAATAATAATTATCTAATGGAATTCACAAATCCTCAATTTACGCAATATTTAGTGTAGTGTATGGATTGCAGTACAGTTCAATTGAATATAGTCAATGTTCGGAATGCGAAATCTAATGCGTAGTACACACACACACACACACACACACACACACACACACACACACACACACACACATATATATATATATATATATATATATCGATGATCTCTACACTTTTTTTAACAAATTAACATCCCCCGCTATAACATCTATCATTTATTCCACCTCATTCCGAAAGACGCCGCCCTGGTGGCAGAAAAAGTATTGGATGGATCCATCCATCATTGGTATTGCTGATTTCTTTTAACTTATTATAGGCCAGTGTTTGAGTACAATCCTAGTTGGAATAGTTGTTAAGCATATCACAAACTCTACATTTATAGGATAACTAGCGATCTGCCCCGGCTTCGCACGGATGATTTCTGGATTTCGCCGATTCGAACCGCAATTTTTCAAAAAACTAGATACAAGGGAACAAGAAAACATTTATTAATACCCGATTACTGGCTATTTACATCAGAAAATTAAATACATTAGACGTAATTTAAAACTACAAACTCGTAAGATTAATTTTCTGATGAAAATAGCCAGTAATCGGGGAATCATAAATGTTTTCTTCCTCTCCTGTAATTTTTAGAAAAATTGAGGTTCGCCCCTTTACAGCGTTAGCGACGAATTGTGAATCTAAACCATCTAGGGACCCACTCAAAAACTTATCATCATCATCATCAGAATCAGTCGAGCCAGATTCGAGATTTAGCGAGATTAACGGACAGCAATTGTTTTTTATATGTATATTACTAGCTGGTACTCAGCGCATTGCTGCCACAGAGGAAATATCGTTTTAAATTTGGAATTGTTTAATTAGGCGTGTCTACATTCATTGACATTGAGTGACATAACTATGACTTTCATAAAATTTGTCGTTGCGATACACGCGTCACCTACTGTAAGTTAATTGTACTATACCTATAACCTTCGTGGAAATGCCAGCAATAAGTTGACAAAGTTTTAGCACAATCTGATGAACGGTATAGCAGCGCATAAAATACGAACGAACAAAAATTATTTTTATATATTAGATAGAGATATATCGAACGAGTATACGGCGAATGAGAAGTAATGAATGGTTTTGGGTGGTAATGCTGAATTTTCCCCCTCTGGTAGTTTCTTGATCTTCATCATTATCACAGCGTATCAAAGTCCACTACTGAAAATAAGCCTCTCTCATATATTGTCTTGTTTGGCGGATTTTTGCCATAGGTGCCACGCTTGGCTGGCGGGTTGGCAGTCGCAGTTTTTACAATTTCGTGTTGTTATCAGAAAGATGCTGCTACCTGTCTCCTTTCATTTCCCTCTGTCATAGATATCTTTATACGTGGTAGAGCCATGCTGCAGCTATATTAATAGTATAGTTGTAGCACGAATGGGTCGGCTCGACCGGGGAAGGACCACGCTCTCACAGAAAACCAGCGTCAAATAGCAGCTTAACGCTGCTGTGTTACGTATGGGGAGTGTAGAGAACCGGAGACCCATTTTACTGGAAAAGAGGCATTCTATCTTAGTCTTCGAGACTGACAACGCATCTGCATTTTAATTCGCAAACGAAGATGGATGTAAATGTCCATGGGCCACAGCAACCACTTACCATGAGGTGGACTGTGTGCACGTTTGTCACCCCAATTCTATAAAAAAAATGTTAGACACCCCAGGGTACGATATGATGTGGTGGATAATGGATATTCTTATACCGCCACTACACGGTATTTTTTAAGAACAGTACATACATAAACACTCACGCCAGTCACCCAGAGGGGTAGGCAGAGACTATGGACTTCCATTTGGCACGATCCTGACACACCTCTCTCGCTTCCTCCACATCCATATACCTACGCATACACGCTCGTAGGTTAAAGGTACTCTTGATTTGGCCCATTTTCAATATATCGCCAATTTGGTCGATTAACTTTTACTTAGAGAACAGTACTTAATAGATATTATTGTTAAATACAGAAAAAGCACAATTTTATATTTATTGTTTATTTCAAACTTTTTTTTATAAAATTGTTCCTAACTGTAAATTTATTATTTTATAACGAACGCTAAACTGTAAGTAATAAAACTTCAATAATATAAATCAAAAACTCTAACGATATGCGGCTTTTCTTATTGTCACCGTTCGGTCCGGTGCCTTTGAGCATTTGTTAAGGTGTAGTGTCATTAAAACAACCGCTACGTAGTAAAAACATAAATACCTTACTTAAAATTTAACAAAAGTGCGCTTTATTCCAAACAAATTGTGTTTAATGTATGTATTTAAAATTAATAAGTTAGTTCAAAATAATATACCTACTTATATCAATAAATTATTATTATCTCTATGATTTACATAAAATAGAATATGCATAAAATTAGATATATGAGTCATGTGTATGAGAGTGGGAGAAGGGTTTCTAAGGAAAATATGTCTTGAAGTATCAACTTCCTTTCCTCGCGGTGACAGAGGAAACTTATCCTAGATGTCAAATTATGGAGGAAATTGTATGTTAAAGCCAAATTCGCAATGTTAATGGTAAACAGCATTACCAGTGCGAGAGTATGTTAAATTTTTAAGATAATTGCGAAAATGGGAACGGGGCAGTATTTTTGTTCTGGCCGCCTCCGGCGGTAGAGACTCATGCTACATCACTGGTCCAGCCTTCCTGCAGTGTTATACCAACTGAAGCATTCTTGTAAAAGCTTAGGTCTAGCAGTGAACTGAAAAGTGATGATTTTAAACTACTATTATCCAGGAAATATACAAAAACTCTATAAAATATTAAAACTTAGATTACCTATATTTTTGTTTTTATGTTTGACACGACTGTCAGCTCAGATTTTTTAATTCTATAAAAATATTTAGCTACCAAATAAAATTTCCTTTATCGATTAATATTATATTACCTATTATGAAATCATACATCAATATTATTCAGCCCAGACATAAAATACAAAGACACGTGCATACAAAAAAGTAAAATAATAAACTTAAATACTGTAAAATAAATCATATTACGAAATTAAACAAGAATAATTAAAACCCTCTCAGAAATAAAAGGTCTGTGGTCATCCGTGGGACGTATGTAGGCTGACTCTACTTTTTAATTTTATTTAAATGCACATTTACCTTGCGGTCTGTCGTCCGCGCCGTCGCTATCAACTTCACTCCGTATACTCGAAGGGCTAGATCGTTTGAGATCCTCCTGTCCTTGCCCCTCCGGATAGCCGTTTCTCATCGCTTGTTTTTCATATGACATAAAGAATGGAAAATTTGGAACACGACTTTGTTGAAAATAATATCCCATTTTCCCCTCTCTAATTTTAACATCCTCATCTTCTGAATGTGTATTATCCACCGTGTAATCCTGCGAAATGTTATTCTCAATATCGATTTCAGGCGACCGACGATTATTAATCCCCACAATCGATTCGATGGAAAAGTTTTTCGGTGGAATTTTCGTTTGCATCTTATTGATTTCCGATTCCATTACACTAACGATTATGTCACTTCACTATCGTCACTGGCCACTACGAACGCTACTTGTAAACTGACAGCGATTTAAATTTGGAATGTTTTCGTAGTTCGAACGTCCGACTGTCAGACTTCTCAGTTGAGCTTTGTTGGCCTTTGAGCGGATTGTACGTAACCACGCCTCCAAGGTGTGGGGAGTTAAGTTAGAACTCCGTAATTGAAAATAACCCTTGTACTCTAAAGATAAAGTCTATTTTCAATATTCTAAAGATACGATGATATAAACTAATGCTAGTAAGAAAATATTATACTTTATTTCAGAGTAGATACGGTCTGTTTTAAAATAAAATGTTTAAAGTAGTAAACTGATCGTAATCTCCTGTGGTTTTATGTAAAAGTAGAGTTGCAAAAAAATGGCAGAATACTGTTTTACAATTTTATCTGTAATTTTTATATCTAATCATAAAGAATACAACAATACGCTAGTATATATTTGCCTAATCTGGATAATAGTAAAAGGGAATGCCCACCGTTCATAGACACTTCGGCCATAGGTGCCCACATATAAAAGCATGTGGAAATGATAATATGCAATTAAAATAATGAAATGGTTAAGGAATTGGTTTAAAAAAAGTCCGGCTTTTTAAGATATAAAGGTTTTTTATTTTCACAAGAACAGTTTTTAACAACAAATGACTTCGTATTTTCGTGACATTTAAACCACAATTGACACAGCGTTAATGTGTTCTTGAGTGAGTTACTGAGAGCTAGGAAGAACTCTGGGTGACGGAAAGCTGGGGTCATCGTTAACAGTGGATATCGAGTCCAAGTTCGTGCAGAGGTTATCGTAAGAAGTGGGAGCGGGATCCATTTTCAGGCCGTGGTCAATATGGCGAGAAGAATTATCGGAATCCATTTAGAAAGCTTATTCGTTACTTAGACAACAAATCCGCGAGAAAACAAACAAAATAACACAAATGCAAAGTCATTCGACTTGTGACTATTTAGTTTCGATAATTATGAAATGGGCCTAGCTGTCAGACTCGATGTTGCCAATTAACAGACATAAAATCGATAAATAGATAGTGATTTTTTTAATCGATTTATAATTTCATAAAAAGAATAATCTTTGATTCGCCTTAAGTTCTGCACGCCTTTTAAAATATGTTTTGTTTTATTTATTTAAATTCCATTTTAAATGTATTTTTAAGAACAGATAAAAATAACAATTAAATTGTGCAGTAGCGTTTTTGTTATGTTATAAAGAGTTCATGGTAAATCAACTAGCAATTCGCTTGTTTAATTATCATAACATCATAATAATTATCGAAAATAATATTACCATTATAATAATGACAACATAAAAATCGATTGAAAAAACATAATCGACTTTTTTTTACGAGATTTGTGATTGGCAACACTTTTTATTTTACCCACAAACTAATGACTTGCGGATTTACCTAATTTCATTTTTATCTTTTCGGTACTTTTTTTGTGGAAAAATATTGCAATCTTTTTTGGATACATAAATACTGCGATTAATTACCATAAAAAAAGATATATTTTTTTAACAAATGCAAATTGTTGGGCGTTTCATGGCCAGAATTGGGCATTCCCCTTTGTTTAATTTTAGTCCTATTTGAATTTTAAATGAAAATTAAGAAATTAACTTTATGTTAGAGAAAATAAAAACAACTAAAAGAGAAAAATAATTGACATTTACATAAATATAAAATGGTTTATTTACTAAAACATTCTTTATAATCAAAAGTTAATTTTGTAAATTAAATTTGAACTTTTTATTTGAAATTAACACTGATAACATGACATTTAATAAAGAAAACAAAATTGCATGAATCATAATACCTAATATTGTAAATTGTAAATTATTTCTCTAATATGGACTTGTGTATGAAAATTGGGAAATAAATGGCTATTATTATTATTATTATATAGAGAAAATATTAACTTATGGCATTCATACCAAATATAACAATTTTTTTTAATATACATACCGTGTCGTATTAAATTCAGCAAAACGATTGAATCTTCTTAGAGTGTGTTCATCTGTTAAAAAGGTTTATTCCGATCGAGATTTACATTTAAGTTTAAAATTTTAAATACTTAGTTCTAAAATTATCCTAATACAGAAGTTCAACCTAAAGGGATACCATTCACTCTTTCTTTACGATCTATCAAAAGTTCACACTGCTTAACATGGGCCTATCCATAATTTACCGGGAATATTTGCCATAGTTGCCACGTTTAGCAGGCGGATGGGAACTACAGTTATTTATTTTTTATAGCTGTCATTAGCCGCCTTATTCCAAAACACGGACTTAATATAGTACTGGAGTTAGTAATATATTTAAACCATAAACTAAGAAAAACGTTATTACAAAACGAAGATTATCTCTGGTTCAAGGATTATCTATGGTATTAAAGTTAATCTTTCGAGACCCCTAGTTTAGCTATGGTACTAACCTTTCTATATAGTTTGTGGTACTCTATACTAACCTCAATTTCGGTACTTCTTAATTTGAGGTGAGCGTTGTTTTCATTTGGTGTTATTAAAATCGTTAAAAATGGATATTAACATGATTGACTTGATGGATTTAGAAGATTTGGACATGCTAGACACCACTCGGCGACCTGATAGACATCGACATCGTGTGAATCCGTATGAATTGAGTGACGAAGATTTTAGGTATAAGTATAGGTTCTCAAAACGTTTCGGAGAAAAAATAGTGGGTATCTTACGTGAGGATTTAGTGCACGACCCTCGAGGATGCCCATTGAGTCCTGAAATTCAAGTGGTTTGTGCATTACGCAACTGGGCTCGCCATGAAGTAAGTGCTGTTTATAATCTTGGTGGGGTCAATGTACCTAACATTACGCTAGATAAAAAGCCAAATAATACATATTATTGTTTTATTCGTAGATTCAAGACGATACAGCTGATTTACATGGTGTGTCTCAACCAGTAGTAAGTAGGACATGTAAAAAAGTAGCGGAAATTTTGTCACGGAAGCCCTGAGAATTTATTAAAATGCCTACTACTTTAAATGAACAGCAGGAAACCATTAGGAAATTTCGCAGTATTGCTAATTTTCCTACAGTAATTGGCGCAATTGACTGTACTCACATACGAGTAAAGAAAGTGAATGCTGATGGGGGTCAGTTATATATTAATAGAAAAGGATTTTCTTCAATTAATGTACAGGTAATATACAAATATTTTAAATAGCTGTGATTGTCTCTTAATAACTTTACTTTATCATAATAGAAAATAATTTGTTTGACTATCTTATGGTAATAAATATATATTAAAATAAACCAGAAAAACATAAAGTACTAATGAGCTCTTATTTTACAGGTGGTTTGTGACGCTGACCTGAAAATCATGGACATTGTTACCAGGTGGCGTGGTAGTGTACATGACTCCAGAATATTCCGAGAATGTAGACTAAAACAGAGGTTTGAGGCTGGTGCATTCTCTGGAATATTACTTGGTGACAGTGGCTATGCTTGTACCCCTTACCTATTTACACCGCTGCTGAACCCCACAACACCACAAGAAGAAAGATATAATAGGAGCCATATCTGTACCAGGAACACAGTGGAAAGATGTTTTGGTTTGTGGAAGCAACGGTTTCGTTGCCTATTAAGAGGTATGTTTGGAGATATTGAAACAGCAAAAAAAACAATTGTTGCATGTGCTGTACTACACAATATGGCCATCGACATGAGAGAAGATGTGTTTCCTGGTGAGAGAGATAGCATTGAACAATATTCATCTGAACCTATAGTACAAAGATATATTGCACCATCAATAAGGGGAAATATTAGAAGAAGACAGTTTATTGAAACTCATTTTCAGTAGGTAAACATTTTTTTTTTACATATTTATATAGCTATTTATAATTAAAATTAATAATTATATTTATAAAATTGTCAATTTTTTTTCAATTGTCTAAAGCTATGTATATATAATTTATTTTATTTTGTTATTCAGAGGCCAATTTTGGCTATAAAATTACATTAAGGATCAATAAATGTATAAGACAATTATAATAATATTTCTTTTTGATTTCAGAGATAATACCCATTTATAAAGGAAAATATTTCTGCAGAGCCGTTGTCAGCTGTCAAAGAATAACGACTACATATTCACCAATATGAAATAAATTCAGGGTAGTATTGTGATAATATTTCATTTATTGAGCAAAATGCTTTTATTTAGGCTATAAATGATTGTGTTTCAGGGAAAGATGCGGGGTACAGCACATTCCACATCAATATGAAGCTATATTATATAAAGATTTAAGTGCTTTAGAGATATGTTTAGATTTTTTAATAAATATCGTCCCTCCTCTACATTCACAGCCGGATTTCCTTTCCAGAGGTGCACGGGTCCACGGGGAGTAGGACTGTATGATGACTAAGTAATTAGGTTTAGTTTTTTTTATTATAGTTTTTTACTATTGTATATTATATTTCACTGTTATGTAAATAAAATGCATATTAATTATAATTATTTATTTTAATTATTAATAAAAGATGTACAAATATTTGCAGCAATTTAGTACCTGAAAATAATTGTTTCATATATGAGGATATTTACAAACATGTATCTGATATAGTCTCAAATATTTAGTTTTTTTATAGGATAATGGTGATAAAACACAGTCTACCACACACACATACACACACACAGTCCATCTGATGTTAAGTAACTGCTGTGGTGCATAGACGTCCACATCTATCCTCGACTACAAATCAAAATGCAGATGCGTTGTCACCCGTGTGGAGTAAGATGGAATGCCTCGTTTCCTGTAAAAGAGGTCTCTCTCATACAAAATTTGTACAAAAATTTATCCAAAATTTGTCAATAAACAAGTTTAAATGTTTTATTAAAGAAAAATTTTATAAAAAGGTTATTATAATATCAAAGAATACATAAATGAGAATATTGGAAATACTGGAATTGAGGTGATCGCCACCATGGTGGTTCTA